CTTGCGAAGAGTTCAGGTATATAGTGTTGACTTAATTACTGGTTGCCACGGCACGCGATATTGGTTACAGATGATTATATATATATATATATATATGTATACAATTATTATTATTTTTTTTATTTTTTTTTATTTTTTTTTATTTTTTTTTTTTTTTAATTATTATATTTTTTGTTTTTTATATATACTATATTTATATATGTATTTATATTATATTTATATATTTATATGTGTATAAATATTAAAGTTTTAATTTAATTGTGTTAATGAAACGGGTTTGACTTTTGTCTCAATATGTGTTCTTGAGTGGTTGACTTGAACTTGGAGAAACCAGAAAACACGTCAATATCCGAACTCCTCGCTACAATATTATAGTTATTTTCTAATCTATTAATGGTGGAGAAGTGTCCCAAATTGCTTCTGAATCGCTTTTTTGCAAATAAGGAATACTTTTTACTGCGAGGTAATTTATAGGGTGCGTTTATAGTTATTTGTTCTAGCAATGCAGGGCAATCAAGAACACCATTTATAATTTTATGGAAAAATGCACCGTCAAGCAACTGTCTCCTGTCTTCGAGACTCATTAGTTTGAAATATTTCAAACGTTTATTAAATGATTTTAGTTCCTTTGCCATTCCGCTATGATAAGAAAGGTGCCAGACAAAACGTTTAAGTATGGATTCTATGCGATTTCTATGTACCATATAATAAGGGGTCCATACATATATATATATATATATACATATATACATATATATATATATATACATATATATATAATATTATTATTTTAGCATATTAATTCTTCTATTCTGTTTGTATTCAGACTAAATCTTAGTAATGTAATGCTGACATTCATTTAAAAGAGTAGTAACAAGCAAGTTTCTTTCTTATCCTTTTTGTAATAAGTCTGCTTACCGAATGAGCGGGTGGACAACCCTTATCACATAGGGTTATAAAAATAGATAGTAGCCGATTCTGAGATCTACTGAATATGCATATAAAATTTAATAAAATTGTAACTAACATTGTGACACGAGAATTTTATATATAAGATATATAAAAGTTTCTTAAGGGTAGAAAACAATTCAAACTTGACAGACATGCAATGTTGTACAGGCTACGGTGACCATTTACCATCAGATGGCCCGTAGACATATTTTCCACTATAGTGGTAAAAAAATGGAATTACACTAGTTGTTCTATACAATTGAGATTATTGTTATAAAACCTACTGCCTATGTCGTATTGTCAACGCAGGCTACTTTTTCTAGAGCACTTGATTTAGTTTTTATAATAAACAAAGTTTTCCAGCGCCAGTAATTTTCCTGACCGTGAAAAAGAAACTGTATTGTTGCTAAGAATCTCTTGCAACGGCGGTATTATCTGGTAATTTGGCATGAGAGTTCGCCACGTCAATTTGTATGGGACATGGACGGAATGGCAAATTATATTACTGGCCTTGACGCCTTCGGAGCAGCGGGTGAACTCGGGTTCATAGGAATCGATATTGATACTATTTATATTTCGATTATTTAATTTATCTATTGATCAATTTTATATACAAAATTCTCGTGTCACAAGTTTCGTGTTTATACTTCTCCGAAACGGCTTGACCGATTTTGAAGAAATCTTATATATGTATTCAGTAGGTCTAAGAACAGGTTTATAACTATTTTTTGTACCCTAAGTGGGTACCTTACCCCAAAAATTATTTTTTTATTTTTTCGTAAATTTTTTTTATTACGTCTCATTAAAAATACATACAATCCTAAATTTTCACCCTTCTATCACCAACCCCTATTTTTTAATAGCAATATTAATTTATATGGTGTAACAATATTTACCGGGTCAGCTACTGTTACTATGCAATTTTGTTCCGGCTAATCTCTGAAATGGCTGGACCGATTTTGACTGGAATTTTATTGGCAGTGTTATGAAAACAACTGACATATAATTTTCAATGCAGCTGTATTTAGTGGACAATAGGATTTGAACAAGAGATTGATAATTAGGAAAGCACTCACCTTGTACTTGGATTGCCGGTTCGGTTTCAGCAAGGCTTCCCAGAACATCGGGCTTGTCCGAACTTACCTTTTGAATAGGTTACCTGTTTACCGCCACAACCGACAATAGGTGCTCTGCAGTATCAACTCTTGCGTTCCTTTATTGTTTCGTAAATAAACTTATAATATTCACGACTTCAGTAAACAAATCTATATAGACAATTACGACAACGATAATCAGAACACTTTTTCGACAACAACAAAGACGAAACGACCACCTATTTTTTTTTTTAATATTGTTTACGGCATTGGATATCGCGATAATTTTGCCGTGCATATTAGGTATCTGATGTAATAAGGAGTAACTTAGGCTACTTTTATTTTAGAAAACATCTTTTTTTAGAATAATAAAGTTAAATTCCACGCGGACGAAGTCACGGGTGCAGCTAGTATTATATATATAAATAAATTTCATTACATTACATTTCAATGAGGTCTCGGTCCCCATTTCTATCGATCCCCTTCCCCCCATAGTGAGTAGTTGTCACAGTGACGGTCACAATGTCACACGTGCCACGCCGACTAGTTAGTGACACTACACGTGCTGTATACAATATAAATAGTGTAGTAATTATAGAATAGTTGTTCCGCACTAAAATTAGAACGTAAGTCATACGTGTTCAGTTCGGTTACAATAACCTGATGTTTTACTTTCATAGGCCGATAATATTTATTTATTTGCTTTATTGACCACTACAAAATTAAAAATAATAATAAGTTAGTATATTTGTTCATGTAGGTCTATTACAGACTCTTATGATATGTCAAATCTACCGTCAGTTCAGATATTAGTAACATAACTTATGCTATGTTAGTAATAAATCTATACACATAAATAAAATTGGAGTGTCTGTTTGTAATATTGAAATAACCGTTTTTTACTACATGCATATCAATATAAATACAGTACATACACCGAAATAACAGTTTTTACAATTTTTGTCTGTCTGTTTGTTCCGGATAATCTCTGAAATGGCTGAACCGATTTTGACGGGACTTCTTTTGGCAGGTAGCTGATGTAATAAGGAGTAACTTCGCTACTTTTATTGTAGAAAAATAAAGTTAAATTCGTGGTCGCGGACGAAGTTGCGGGTACAGCTAGTTGAATATATAAATTGAACGCTAGAGGCGTGTCAGGTGTCCCATCTGCTAAAATTAAAATAATAAATACCAATAACAACTAATAACAATCAAGAAATAAGAAGAATGAGACGACTAAGAAGACATCCAATACTGAACATAAAAATATTGGGGGTCGTGAAAAAAAAAACTACAAAAACCCCTTACACATGATTGACGACTGTAAGAATCCAGCCGTGGCTGGTAAAAATGTAAAGTAATAATAAAATTATTTAAAAGAGCAACACACAAGTTCCTTGCTCGTTCTTCTTGTGATGAGACAGCTTTCCGAATGAGCGATAGATTAAAAAAATGTGATGTGTATTCAAAAGTGCTTCAATGTAAGTTTATTTGAATAAATGATTTTCTATTCTATTCTATTCTATTTTTTTGTAAATACATACATAATATACATAGAAAACACCCAGACAGATACAAACAATCATACTCATGAATACAAACGTTTGAACCGAGGAATCGAACCCGCGACCATCGGAAGAAAAGCGGTGTGCTCAACCGCTAGACCACCGAGGCCATCATCAGTCTTCTTGTTGCGACATTTCGTTCAATTGAACTTAATAAAAACACCGAATAATGTTCGCACCATTATTTGGTTCAATGAAACATAACTCGTTTATGTAGACAAACCCAATTGACGCGGTTAGTCATAATTTAGTTTGATGGGATGGAACTAAACAATGCTCAGTGAATGAGTCAGCATATGTGCTATCAACTTTATAAGAGAATAGAATAAAATAAGGGATGAAATAGGGGATGAAAGTATATATAAATCTTCTGATTTTCGACTGATTGAACTGAAATTAAAGATTGGAGCTACAATGATGAAGACGTTCGCTTAAATAGGATTTTGATAAATTCAACCCCCATGGGGATAAAATAAGGGATGATGCAGGATGTAAATGTATTAGTTTGAACCTATCAGTGCCTAATGGAACGAATAAATTAAGACGAACAAAATAATTTTTAGTTCTTTAGGCTACTTTTATTTTAGGAAAATAAAGTTAACTTCTATGCGAACACTAGCTGTTCCCACGACTTTGTCCGCGTGTAATATAAGAGTATTTCACAAATTAGGGAAGGAGTACCTTCCCTTATCCTCCTTGAATTTTGAATAATAATAACTTTGACAATTTACATACCGTGCCATCTACTCCCAAACAAAATCAGAATAGAATAGAATAGAATAAAAAATTCTTCATTCAAATAAATTGAAATTTAGACACTTTTGAATAGACATAGTTATTTTTTTAATCTACCGCTTCCTTACAAGAAGAACGAGCAAGAAACTTGCGTGTTGCTCTGTTAAATAGTTGTTGTACCTTTAATACAAAATTATTGAATTATTTTTAATTAATTATCATCAATGGTATTTCCGAACTGATACGATATTTAAGAAAAGAGCTTAATTCCTTTTTAAAAGGCCCACAACGCACGTGCCTTACCCCTAGTGTTGCGGGTGTTTATGGAAGACGGCAGATGTATAAATAAAATTGTAGTGTCCGTTTGTAATATTGAAATAACCGTTTTTTATTACAGGCATATGAATATAAATACGGTACGTACACCAAAATAACATTTTTTACCATTTTGTCTGTCTGTTTGTCTGTTTGTTCCGGCTAATCTCCGAAATTATTGGACCGATTTTGATGGGACTTTTTTTGGCAGGTAGCAGATGTAATAAGGAGTGACTTAGGCTACTTTTATTTTAGAAAAATAAAGTTATATTCCACGCGGACAAAGTCGCAGCTACAGCTAGCTATTAAATATAGTATAACAGATTATTATCATCTCCAGATGCCACGTGCCAGAGTGTGAAGGAAACCTCACATCCGGCTCACCACCGCCCGAAGAATGGATGCCGGCGTGGTCGGAGTGGGCGCTGCCATCCACCAGCGCTGGTGGTCAATGCCATCGATATCAGCCGCTTGACGGTGACTGTTCACCGAGCTCCTTCGACAACGCTACCACAATAACTTGCGAGCGATTTGTCTATAGGACCAACAGTAGTATTGTTGCTGAGGTAAAGTAATTTTTTTTATAGAAATTATTGAATTTACACGTTCTTTCACGCGATATCATATATCTAAATATATATATACTCAAAGGTGACTGACATAGTGATCTATCAACGCACAGCCCAAACCACTGGACGGATCGGGCTGAAATTTGGCATGCAGGTAGATGTTATGACGTAGGCATCCGCTAAGAAAGGATTTTGATTAATTCTACCTCCAAGCGGATGAAATAGGGGATGAAAATTTATATGAAACTTTGTCAATTTTAAACCGATCGAGCTGAGATTTTGCATGCATAAAGCTACTATCCCCTAAGGATTTTGATAAATTCCACCCCTAAGAGTATAAAATAGATGATGAAAGTTTGTATAAATCTTCTTAGATTTTGTAGGCCCTAATTTTTTTACACACGCTGAACAAAAGTAAAGCAGCAAAAACTACACCTAATTAATAATAATACTTAATACTACGCGAGCGAAGCCGCAGGCAACAGCTAGTATATAATATAATCTAATAGTAATCTAATAACAATTCACATTCATCTCATCACTCTCATGAATACAAATGTTTGTACCGTGTGAGGAATCGAACCCGCGAGCATCGGAAGTAAAGCGGTGTGCGAAACCGCTGGACCATTGAAGCCATATATGAATGTAAATAAATATACATAAATCATGTCCTTGCTGACCTTGTGGATTAGTATACCGTCTTACTTCCGATGGTCGCGGGTTCGATTCCTCACACGGTACAAACATTTGTTTTCATGAGTTTGATTGTATCGGTCTGGGTATTTTCTATGTACAATATGTATGTATTTACAAAAAAGTCTATGTATTTGTATCAGTTGTCTAGTAACCATAACACAAGCTTTAGCTAGCTTAACTTGAGTCTAGATGGGTTGTGTGAATTGTCCTGAGATTATTATTACAAATATTAACTATTGTAATATACAGATAATTTTATTTTACATATTTGATTATTATTTCTTATGTATGTTAGTCTATAAGGTATTTATAATATGGGTCATGTAGCCTGAATTAAATAAATAAATAAAAAATAAATAATAAAAAACGTTTGCAGTTTGATCTGGCGTGCCAGGAGTGGAAGCGTTCTATGGTGGGCACCGTGCACAACGTGGGCATGCTCCTCTCACTGCCGATCATTGGTTTCATCTCGGACAGGTAGAACTGTAATCTAAATATATATAACTCAAAGGTGACTGACATAGTGATCTATCAACGCACAGCCCAAACAACTGGACGGCTCGGGCTGAAATTTGGCATGCAGGCAGATGTTATGAGGTAGGCATCCGCTAAGAAAGGATTTTGATTAATTCTACCCCCAAGAGGACCAAATAGGGGATGAAAGTTTGTATGAAACTTTGTCAATTTTAAACCGATAGGGCTGAGATTTTGCATGCATAATGATATCATGATAAAGATACTATGACGTAGGCATCCCCATAGAAAGGATTTTGATAAATTCCACCCTTAAGGGAATAAATTAACGCGACCGAAGCCGCGGGCAAAAGCTAGTACTATATATAATAATAATCTTATTAATATTCTATACGCGAAAGTTTGTGAGTATGGATGGATGTTTGTTACTCTTTAACGCAAAAACTACTGAACCGATCATCATAAAATATTGTACACATGTTCTTAAAGGTATTAGAATGAATATATGATACTTTTTATTTTTATTTATTTCGGATATGCATCCATATTACGTTAGTAAACAACTTCTGAACTATGTTAGGAAATTACAACTTTATTCATTCAATTCATATATTTATGCCTATTTCCACGTCCAGAAGCACTGGGTCCGCAGCAGTGCAGCGATGTCCCGTGTCTCTGGAGCGGATAGTCCGACATATTTGGTATGGTGTTTAGGAGGCTGTTTGCGCTCTTCTGTGATGCAGTTCTATTTCGCATTATGGCTTCAAACCATCTATCCGCGCTGCTGCAAACATCTCTGAATCGATAAAAACTTTTTATAAAAAGCAAAAAAAGAAAATTTCAACTATTTGCTACGAACGAACCAATCAATTATAAATCAGTGCCATGCAGTAGCCAGTAATGAAGTTATTTAATGGATTAAATGCGAGCGAAGCCGCGGTTAAAAAAAAGCTAGTAGGCTATAAATTTCGGGTTCAGCTAGTAAATAATAAAGATATGTATTCAATATTACATCAATATCACTTGAGTTTATAATATTGTTACTATTAGCTGTGTGTACTATGTCAGGGTAGGCCAACCTTTATGCATCAGCGTGCCATTTTACCATAAAATGCTTGATGGGGTCATTGACGTGCCATCAAATAATTTTGACTTTCTGATTATTTAGAAAATAATAATAATAAATACTATCAAAACTCTCTACGAAATAAAGTAAACAAAAGAGGTACATTTTGGATTGTTTTCATTACCCGCATAAATTAAATTACTGTAAAATTATTGTGACTTCTGTTGCTGCAGGTTAGATGACAAATAATTTATGTCAGGCTTGTACGATGTTGCTTTTAGCAAAATGCATGCTGAACTGGATTCATCTGTCAAACGGTTTCTAACCGAGTTTTTAATGTTATTCATCTCTGAAAATAATGACTCGCAGGCATAGGTAGGTGAAAATATTGTTAAAATATCATGAGCCAGCTTCTTCAAACAGTTTTATGATCGCCGACGTGCCCAAAATGTTGTGTCGCGTGCCGTCAATGGCACGCGTGCCATTGGTGGGCATACCCTGGCGTGGTTATAGAATACAATATAAAATCCTTTATTCAAATAAACTTAATTTTGAATTAAGTTTTCATTTTACTTTTTATTAGTCATAGCATTTTTTTTTAATCTACCGCTCAATCGGACATTGTCATCATAGGAAAGATAGAGAGCATGACTACTGAAGGTTATCGATCAAGAGATTGCTTTTAGGCTTTTATTTGTCTTTAAGGTTTGATAAGGCTGCGTTTAGGGCTTGATAAGGACGCTGTAAGGCTTGATAAGGCCGACTTTTGTTGCGTAGAAATTTTTCTGTTAATTAGTTTATATTTAAATTGGTCCAATAAAGAGTACCAATATTTTTGATTGAACAGAGATTAAGTGCGTAGCGGTTTCTATGTTGATTGTCGCATGCCTAATCCTTGTTAATGTAAATCTACTTAAAACAACATTCATTTAAAAGAGCAACACACAATTTTCTTGCTCATTCTTCTTGTGATGAGTCTGCATTCCGAATGAGTGGTAGAATAAAAAAAAAATGTGACTATTCAAAAGTACTACTATTCAAAAGATTATTTCTATTTCTCTATTTCTATTATTATTGTTGTTTGCAGATGGGGCCGCCGTGCTGCGTTGTTGACTAGTGTGTGCGGCGCGGGTGTGCTCGGCCTCGCCAAGTCTTTCGTCAACTCGTACTCCGCGTACTTGCTCGCTGAGGTGCTGGAGACCATGTTCGGTGCCAGTGTGTATCCGTCAGCTTTCGTTCTCAGTAAGTATTTGTTATGTTATGTTATTTGTTTGTTTATTAATCCTATATTTATTAACGGCGTCGGCGTTTTAGTAGTTTAGCATACTGCTTCATTTGTCTAGTGTTGGTCCGGTGTCCTATCCGGCTCGAAGGACCACATTGGTTAAAAATAGGTTTAAAATTACTTCCTTTACTGAGACTAAAACAAATGAACCGGTTATTATTGTTGACCAGCTACTAGCCCCGCCTTCGCCCGGGTGTACATGTATTATATATATAGTTCGTTCGTTCAGAATCACTCTATCTATTAAAAAAACTGCTTCAAAATCCGTTGCGCAGTTTTAAAGATTTAAGCATACATAGGGACGGACAGACAGCGACAGCGACTTTATTTTATACTATGTACCTAATGATATCTCTAGTGTGAGTAACTGTAACGCGTTTAGGAGCAACTGTGTTAAGGGACCGGACCAGTATATTCTATACCTACCTCAAAACTCAGGGACTTGATAAATGATTTATACAAATTATGGGCAATCTATACATATAAATAAAATTGGAGTGTCTGTTTGTAATATTGAAATAATCGTATTTTACTACATGCATATGAGTATAAATACGGTGTATGTAACACCAAATAATTTTATTTTATAATTTATGTCTGTTTGTCTCTCTGTCTGTTTGTTCCGGCTAATCTCTGAAATGGCTGAACCGATTTTGACGGGACTTTTTTTGGCAGGTAACTGATGTAATAAGGAGTAACTTAGTCTACTTTTATTTTAGAAAATAGAAGTTAAATTTCATGCGGTTGAAGTCGCAGCAACAGCTAGTAACAAATAAATACAAATTAACTTGTCGCAGTGATCGAGTGGTTGGGCGTGGAGCAGAGGATCCTTGCGAGCCTGGTGCTGGGTGTGCCGATGTCGGCGGGCACCTCGATGCTGTCGCTGCTCGACTACCTCACCGGGTACTGGCGGCTGTGGGCGCGGTGTGCGTACCCTGTCGCCTTCCTCATACTGCTGTACCCGTGGTTGCTGCCGGAGAGCGTCCGCTGGCTAATGACCAGGGGAAGGTAAGTAGAACAGAATACAAAATCATTTATTCAAATAAACTTAATGTAAGCACTTTTGAATAGTCTAACAATTTTTTTTAATCTACCGCTCATTCGGAAAGCTGTCTCATCAAAAGAAGAACGAGCAAGAAACTTGTGTGTTGCTCTATTAAATAATCCTTGTAAGTTCACATTTTACAAGTCAAAATGTGCGAATACATACTATCCACCAGAATTTTGATAAATTCCACCCCTAAGGGGATATAACCCTTAGGGGTGGAATTTATCAAAATTCTTTCTTAGGGGTTGCCTACGTCATAGTAGCTTTATGCATGCAAAGTCTCAGCCCGATCTGTTTAAAATTGACAAAGTTTCATACAAACTTTCATCCCATATTTTATCCCCTTGGATTAATTAATCTAAATCCTTTCTTAGCGGATGCCTACGTCATAACATCTACCTGCATGCCAAATTTCAGCCCGATCCGTCCAGTGGTTTGGGCTGTGCATTGATAGATCACTACGTCAGTCACCTTTGAGTTACATATGTTTAACATTATTATATCGACACTGCTCCTGTCAGATACGCTGAGGCAGTACGAGTGGTCAGCCGGGCAATGAGGTGTAACAAGCTTAACATTCCTGCCGAGGGTCTAGAGAAGATGTTGCTGAGTGAAACTGAGCAGTTGAACAATAAACCAGACGTCTGCGAAGACGAGGGATTATTTAGAGCTGTGATCAAGTGAGTATATTTTTATGGATGATAATGGTATGGTGCACCCGGGGAGCCTCACCCCTAGAGAACGTGTCCCCAGGTGGCGGATAGGGGAACACTCGTAAGTTATTCTTGCAAATGGATACCTGGAGGGTAAGGGTGAAATAAAATAGCCCTCGCGGACAACAGGCCGGAGAAGGTTACTTCGTAATGAAACCCCTACCAGTGGGCTTCTTTGAGGTAATCAAAGCAGAGGCCACTGGCAGTGCTGCACGATCAGGTTGGGTCGCGCAGAAGGGATGGCGGCGGAAGAGCTCGACAAGAGCCAACGGCGGCGCCCAAAATTCTCTTGGTGGAAGTACAACCTTGGCGTCAGGTGGCAATCGGCCGTAAAACACAAAGCCAAATCTTACCTCCCTGTACACCATGAAGGACAAAGAAAGTTTTTCGTTTAATTATAGAACAAAACAATTGGAAAAAAATGTAGCTATAGCTGACAAGAGGCCTTATATTAAGTTTATTTGAATGATGATTATTTCTATTTCATAATACTATGACTTGTTAGATACCTTCTCATACGGTGAAGAGACTGAAGAGAAAAAGTAAATGTAGAAAAGCAGAGATGCTGACTTCTGCACTGATTAAATACATCACAGAAGAACAGAAGAAGTTTATTTTGTTATGTACATCAGCTTATAGTCTTCTGACTGATCGCCGATTAACATGAAAAAAAAAATTGTCAGATACGGTGCGCTGCGTCGCCGTCTAGCCGTATGCTTCGTGTGGTGGACATGCGCTGTGTTCGTGTTCTACGGGCTGGCGGTGAGCGCACACGCGCTGTCGGGCTCCGCGCACGGCAACTACGCGCTGGTGGCGGCGGCCGAGCTGCCGGCGCTGCTCCTCAACACGCTGCTGCTGGACCGCGTCGGGCGGCGGCCGCTGCTCACCGGCGCCTTCCTACTTACCGCCGTCTCGCTCATCGTCATACCCTGTCTGCCCCACTGTGAGTACTGGGTCATGAAGGAAGCCTCTCGACGTTACTTCCGCTCCGCCCAATCTCACCCGAACCCGCTTTTTGTCAGTATGGTCGACGCACCGAGGAGACATATCAGACATATGCTCATCTTATCTTTCTCCACTAACGGTTTACACTAGCGGGCAATCAGTGGAGGATGATAAGATGATAATATGATATGTAAGAGTTCATGTTATATGAACGATGAATGATGATATCCCTAAGTACCATTTAGAAAAAGTCAATAGGTCTTTTATGGGAATAGGTATAAAAATTTACAATAAGATACCAAAGGATATATTGAAATTACCCTTAAATAAATTCAAAACATCTGTTAAATCATATTTACTGAGCAAAGCCTATTACTCACTAAACGATTACTTGAATGACGAGCGTGCATGGCAATAGTTGCACGGCATTTTCATTTAATGTTAAACATAGACACCTATATAAATACCTATACATTGTAAATAAACTGGCTTTTAAAAAAGAAGTAATTCAATTGAGTTTCTTGCCAGTTCTTCCCAATTGGATCTATATACCGAATTGGATGGTAGGGAAAAAAAATATAATGTAAAAACTTGATGTTCATAAGCGGCTAAAATGTCCTACACGAATAAATGATTTTTAGAATTTAAATTTGAAATTCACTAGATATTTTTCTGATAGTTTCCAGGGGGAACCGCGTGCAAATCAACCAGACATAGTATAGGATTATTGCTAGCAATGACGTTATTAGTTCATATTACGGACAACCTCCTTCCCTGCTCTCCTCTCTTAATGATTAGTACGTAGAGCAATGTATGCTTTTATCGGACTATTCCAAAGCCGTTAGCCGCAGCTGGCCTTTACAGCTTCACCGCACAATGTGAGTGCAGATGGCACTCTAAACCCGTGGAAAGACTTATGAAGAGGCTGAAGCCCAACTCGAGCTTTCGAATACGTGCAATATAACCTGAGTGTGTGTGTGTGTGTGTGCAGCGGCTCGATGGGTGGGCACGGTGTTTTACCTGTGCGGCAAGGTGGGCGCCACCATGTCCCTGAACGCGCTGTACGTGTACACGGCGGAGCTGTTCCCGACGCGCGCGCGGCACCGCCTGCTGGCCGCGTGCTCCACCTGCGGCCGCATCGGTGCTATGCTGGCGCCCCTCGTGCCCCTGCTGGTCAGTACATTCCTCAACTCATCTACACTAGCCATCATTGTTACCGTCTTTATCATCTTTATCATCATTGCTACGATCCTTATCATCATTGCCAGTATCCTCGTCGTTATAACCACCATCCTCATCATTATTTCCACTATACCCACCATCTTCAGTTTCTATATCAATTCCAACATCCTCATCATAACCGGGGTCATGAAATTGTCAGTACAGTATTGTGATTACGTATTATCATCTCTTTATGTAAGTCTGCTTATACAGTATAGCATAGGGGACAAATGAGCTCATCTGATGGTAAATGATTACCGCTGCCAATGAGCAACACCAGGGAAATTGCAAGTGTGCTGCCGGCCTTTTAAAAACGAATCGCTGTCTGTCCGTCCCTATGTATGCTTAAATCTTTAAAACTGCGCAACAGACTTTGAAGCGGTTTTTTTTAATAAACAGAGTGATTCTAGAGGAAGGTTTACATATACATCTGTGCGAAGCCGAGGTGAGTAGCTAGTATTGGATAATATCAACGCTAAGAAGTTATTGGTGTGGTATCGGCAGGTGGTGTACGGCTGGTGGATTCCGACGGTGCTGTACGGCACGCTGCCGCTGTGCAGCGCGCTGCTGACTCGGCTGATGCCGGACACGCTGCACCGCCGGCTGCCCGACACGTTCTCGGACCTACAATCCCCGCCGCCCGATAACGCCTGATTCTTCAAAATAGCAAATACTACGTAACTAGTATAGTTGCGGTCGCGTCTAACTAGGAACTTTTTAGATGTAAATACAACTTTAAGTTCTGTGTAATAAACTATAAATAATTAATATTATAAGATAATGAAAATTAAATATAAGTAGTCTAATTAAGTGTATATTCGTGTTAATTCTATATGTGATATATAAGGTAACTTAATGTATTTATATTATTTTGTTTACTTACACTATCATAAGAGAGATCACAAATATTAAGTGCGGAAACCTGATCACCGGTACTGGAAGCGTTACGACCTTCTCTATTGGTGATCAAATATCGACCGTTATTGAGTCTATTCACATATTGCGACACGTGTTTCGCCGGAACGACGCATCAGGCATTGAATAGTAGAGCTGTAGCTGTCGGATATAGCTTGGAAGTGAAGTATTGACTGTTCGTTGACCAAACTGCGCCAAACAACGCTAATAGGAGCGGAATTAAATAAAATGATGTAAATTCATTAAAAAAAGAAATGACCTTCCATAAAATAACACCTTAATCTATAAAATATGTTATTTATATGTCATACAACAGGTAAATGAACTCGAATTCCTATCTATATATATATATATTATTATGCTATATATATATTCCTATAAATAAAATTGGAATGTCTGTTTGTAATATTGAAATAACCGTTTTTTTACTACATACATGAATATAAATACGGTACATACACCAAAATAACATTTTTAGAATTTTTGTCTGTCTGTTTGTTCCGGCTAATCTCTGAAATGGCTGGACCGATTTTAATAGGACTTTTTTGGCAGGTATCTAATGTAATAAGGAGTAACTTAGGCTACTTGTATTTTAGAAAAATTGTTTTATTTTATAAAAATAAAGTTAAATTCCACGCGGACGAATCTGCGGGTACAGTTAGTGCCAAATAAAATAGAACTGTATAACACAAAGTATATAAAATTTTAAATGAAATTCATTACAGGTATAATTATGTTTGTATGTTCTAAGAACAATGCATTTATACCATTCCAATGCTATGTAACAATAAATTAGTGTTAAGTATTTAAATTATAAATAATAAATCGGTTTTTTGTTGGTTTTTTTATTAGATAGTTTATATTAGTAAATAACATAAAAATATTTATAACATCAAAATAGTTTTTAATTTTTTCGATCAGGTATTTAATGGTTACGTATTAAGTAATAACAAATTATATATACATAACTTAATTATACAACAAAGATACTAAAATTAAAAACCTTAAAAAATATAATAACTAAAATATATTATCAAAAGGAGTCCCTTTAGGCAAAGTTCCGAAGATACTGGTAGCGTTCCCTCTTTGAATGGCTAGACTAATTCTTTGTCCGAGGTAGCTGCCAGCTCTTCGGTCTTCTGTGATGTCGACTAACCTTTTTGTTATTTCTTTTTAATTTTATTTTAGAATACAAATAGGTTGTAACTTGTAACACACATCTCTGTAAATGGAGATAAAGAAATCAATATTAATTTGAAACTAATATCTAAATTGATACTAACTTAAAATTTTTTTTGTTCTCAGTTTGCAAACTAGTCTGTAGTAGCACAGATGTAGTAGCCTTCTACGTCACACCTGCCTGACCAATAGCGTCGCGTTATAAACATATGAAATTACCTATCTATACATATAAATAAAATTGGAGTGTCTGTTTGTAGTATTGAAATAACCGTGTTTTACTACATTATATTCATATATATAAATACGGTACATGCACCAAAATAATAGATTTTACAATTTTTGTCTGTCTGTTTGTTCCGGCTAATCTCTGAAGTGGATGGACCGATTTTGAGTGGACTTTTATGGGTAGGTACCTGATGTAATAAGGAGTAACTTAGGCTAATTTTATTTCAGAAAAATTGTTTTAATTTAGAAAAATAAAGTTAAATTCCACGCGGACCAAGTTGTGGGTACAGCTATATAATAATAATAATGCTATATAATAATATTACAAACAGACACTACAATTTTATTTATATGTATAGATTTCTAATAGAAATAACGGTTACTAGATATTTGTTTTAATTCACGTCATCATTCATTCACGTTCACAAATTTACATTATTATCAAGTAGTATGACATACATATCTCGCGGAAGCTGTGTAGATTGTAATAAGTAAACTTACATAACGCTGAACCGGTGAGTTTAAGTTTGGTAATTACATTTCTAATTAATCATCATCATCATCGCAGCCCGGAAGACGTCCACTGCTGGACATAGGCCTCCCCCAAAGATCTCCACGACAATCGGTCCTGCGCTGCTCGCAACCCTTCCAGCGGTCTTGACCAGATCGTCGGTCCACCTTGCTGGAGGCCTTCCCACGTTGCGTCTTCCGGTCCGCGGTCGCTACTCGAGGACTTTATTGCCGGAACGGCCATCTGTCCTACGAGCTATATGCCCTGCCCTTTGCCACTTCAGCTTAGCAATTCTTCGGGCTATGTCGGTCACTCTGGTTCTTCTGAGGATCTCGGCAAATATTCTCACCGTTGCTTCTCAATTTATATATTCAAATATCCTATATGTTCACAAAAATCTTCACCTATTTCCAAAAAACATCAATATTCATAATATTAATACTATATTTAAAGACAACCTTGCTGTCGCCAAGTATCGTTTAGAAAAAGTCAATAGGTCTTTTATGGGAATAGGTATAAAAATTTACTTATAATACCAAAGGATATATTGGAATTACCAAACATCTGTTAAATCATATTTACTGAGCGAAGCCTATTACTCACTAAACGATTACTTGAATGACGAGCGTGCATGGCAATAGTTGTTCATGCACGGGATTTTCATTTAATGTTAGACATAGACACCTATATAAATACCTATACATTGTAAATAAACTGGCTTTTAAAAAAAAAGTAATTCAATTGAATTTCTTGCCAGTTCTTTTAAATTGAATCTATATAGCGAACTGTACGGTAGGGAAAAAATTATAATATTAAAAAATTGATTGAATGGCGGCTAAATTGTCCTACATATATATTTTCTATTCTATTCTAAAAAAACATTTTTATATTCAGTCCTAGCAAATATTTAACATTCATAGTGCAAGTTCCATTTACTTTGAGATTAGGCCTATGTGATGAAATATATATACTGAACTGGACGGTAGGGAAAAAATTATAATATTAAAAAATTGACGTTCATAAGCGGCTAAAATGTCCTACATATAAATAAATGTTTTTGTATTTAAATTTATTGAATGTTAAATTAATTATAGTCCAATTTCGACCACTAGGCTGTTATTTTTAATTATTTTCTTTTGTCCATAGACAAGAATAGGCAATACATAATGTAATAGATAAAATAATGAGCCGCTGCGAGTGACCGCGTCGGCCTTGACCTACCTGCTCGCTTTCTAACACTCAGCTTCGAGTACAACTGCGGGTGCCGTGTAAGCCCCATGCTGCCTGCGCTCAGCCGTCGCAGTACACCGTCGACCACAGCAGTCGCCGTCCGCCATTACAGCGGGGCACAACGATGACCAACGAACAGTCAAATGTTAAGAGTGGTGACCGTCCGCCGGTGTTGTCGTGTGGTGTGGACGGTGACAGTGTGTTGAAACAGTTGGGACAAGCTGGCCGGTTCCATTTGAGGGTATACGTGCTGGTGGGGTTGGCGGCTGTTCAGGTCGGGTTGCTGCATACCACCTACATCTTCTTAGCTGGTAACGTGCCTTATAGGTAAGAACAAGCCCTATTTTTAGCACAGATAACATAATCTTTTAGTCAGATAGAATATATTTGTTTTCTAATATACACTAATAAATATAATATACACTAAAAATAACATATGAACTATATATCAATATAACTGTTCCCGTGACTTCGTGGAATTTTATTTTATTTTCCTAAAATAAAAGTAGCCTATGTTACTCCTTATTACATCAGTTACCTGCCAAAAAAAGTCCAGTCAAAATCGGTCCAGCCATTTTAGAGATTAGCCGGAACAAACAGACAGACAGACAGACAAAAATTGTAAAAAAAATGTTAGTTTGGTGCATGTACCGTATTTATATTCATATGCATGTAGTAAAAAACGGTTATTTCAATATTACAAACAGACACTACAATTTTATTTATGTTTGACAGCCTCGGTGGTCTAGTTTAGCATACCGCTTTACGACCGATGGTCGCGGGTTCGATTCCTCGCACGGTATAAACATTTGTATTCATGAGTACGAAGTATGATTCCAACTCAGAAAATAGTTCCATCATCATTACATAGTATAAAACAAAGTCGCTGTCGCTGTCTGTCCCTATGTATGTTTAAATCTTTAAAACTACGCAACGGATTTTGAAGCGGTTTTTTTAAATACATAGACTGATTCAAGAGGAAGTTTTATATATATAATACATGGACACCCGTGCGAAGCCAGAGCGAGTAGCTAGCTTTCAAATAAACTATAATAGATTAATCTAAACTGGGGTGAGATTCTTACATTTAAAAAAATATTAAAATAAAACAAAACATGTGTTTTATTTCTTGTTTAAATTATAGTATTGGTGGTTGAAATTCGATTGATAAAAGATACAGAGATCCTTGAACCAGCATTAACAATTAAACAAATCATGTATTCTTTAAACATAATTTTAAAGAATTATTACCATTATCCACTGCTCTTCTATATAGACTATAAGTGTACGAAATTTCATACTCTTCCGTGCGCGCAATTTTTATAAAAAAAAAAGGGTACAAAGTTATTACTTAACTTATTAATGTATAGATAAAAAAAATACACTTTCCGTTATTATCTTGTCAATATTATAAACGCGAAAGTTTGTAAGTACGGATGGATATGTTTGTTACTCTTTCACGCAAAAACTACTGAACGGATTTGGATGAAAATTTACAGTAATATAGATTACATCACAATAATATATAGGCTGTAAATTTCATGCGGGGAAACCGTGGGCGTAGCTAGTATAATAATAATAGAGATAGTATTGTTATAATATTATTATTCAGTTCAATTTATTTTGCATACCGTAGAGATTAAAGCAGAGTAAAGAATACTATTACACAAACTTATTTTTATCTGACCGGTTCTATATAAATAGATTTAAATTGATAATGGTATAAGACGGAACC